GTCCAAGCAAGCCTTTGGTCAGAATCCACAGCAGGACTCAGCCCAGTTTTCTTATTACTGGAAGTAGCCAGGGTTTAAGGATGGTTATTCAGTTCCCAACATGGGGCTAAAACTTCCTGTGAGATTAGCATTCCCTTTTCACAGATCCACAAACTAAGGCTGAGAGAGAGTCAGCAATGGGTGTGTGGTACATCTTGGTGTCTGTCCCAGGCTTCCCTTCATGGAAAAGACCAGCAGAGGTAACAAAGGCTCCCTGGGGCTCTGGCCAAAACCTTCTCTCCCATTTCTCCCATTTAGAAGACAAATTTCAGAAGAGGAGCCCTCCACACTTCCCCTGACATCCTTCCCAGTGACTCAGATCACCTCTTAGACTTTCTCTGCCCCAGACAGAAGGACAGCCGCTGGCAGTAATGTTGAGACCCAATCCACAGGAACTGGAAGGGACCCAACAACTCTTAATGCATCTTCCAACCAAAGCACCCATGATTTTATGACTCTAAGATGCTAACATAAGAATATCTCATCCAGCCCAGCAGGGTGGTGCATATCTATAATCCCAGCCCTCGGGAGGCTAAGGCAGGAGGATAGAGAGTTTGAGATCAGCCTGAGCTACAGTAAGACCTTGTCTCAAAAAAAAAATTCATGCAATCTATGCCACACTGAATCATATGAGCATTAACCATTTGGTTTTTGGGTGGTATGGGGTTTGAACTCAGGGCCTACACCTTGAGCCACTCCACCAGCCCCCTGATTTGATTTCCTTACATGATTTATTTTTTGTGTTTGTGATGGCCACAATGTAAAGCCGCTGATTTTTTTTTTGCGGTACTGGGATTTGAACTCAGGACCTACACCTTGCGCCACTCCACCAACCCTTTTTTGTGATGGATTTTTTTCAAGATAGGGCTAGAAAACTCTGCCTGGGCTGACTTCAAACCATGATCCTCCTGATCTCTGTCTCCTGAGTAGCTAGGATTACAGGTGTGAGCCCCGTGTCCAGATAACCATTTGCTTTTGCCGTTAGCCGAAGTGAAAACTCCAGAACCAGCTAACGTGAACTTGCATTGCCTACACCCCTGCTGTCTTCCAAAAAAATAGAGTTTAACACCTGCCCTGCCTGAGTCTCTGAGTTGTGAAAGAGAAAAGAATTCATCACTGGGAAAACCTATGGGAAATCACGTGACACCTAGAGATCGTCACAGCGGCCATTGAGGTGATCACATAGGAGGGCAGTCAATGCAGGAGTCATTCTGACACAGCCAGCTGCCGTCCACAAGGGGGCACAGAATCCCCATGTAAGGGGACCTCTGCAGCACAAGGTTGATGGCAGTGTGGCCTGGAGGCCTGGCACTGCAGGGCACTAAAACACCAACTCTCTTTCCCTGGGCCCTGCCTTTAAATCCCAGCTTTGTCATGGCATACCGCGAGGCCTTGAGCCAGGCACCTAACCACTCCAAGCCTCAGCGTCCTCAGCGGTAGGATGGAGGTGAAAATCAGGAACTTTTTCAGCCCTTCCCCTGTGCCAGACATCCACGTGAGTTGTTTCAATGACCCTTCTCCATCCCCAAAAAACAGGTGGATTGATTATTTGCATTTTACGGTTGTGAAAGGTGAGGTTCAGAAGGGAACGTAACTTACCCACAATCACCCTGCTCCTGAGCAACAGAGGAGCAAACTGAACCCAGGCCCGTCTGGCTGCAGAGGCTGTGTCCTTGATGACCACGTCCTAGCAGAAATTTAAACTTGAATGACATACACAGGAAAGGAATGGGAGCTGGGTGCGGTGGTGCACATCTGTAATCCCGGCACTCAGGAGGCCGAGGTAGGAGGTTCTCAAGTTCCAGGCCACCCTGGATGACATAGCAAAACCCCGTCTCAAAAAAGGTATGGGAATGGCCACAGGTGGTGGACGTCCCCTCTCAGCCCCTCTACTGCTCCCCTCCCCCATTCTACCTCTGGGGTCCCTGTATTACCAGCCTCCACCGTCCCTCCCAAAAGCAGGAGGCCTCAGGCTCTGCAGCTCTGATATGCCAAAGGGAAAGGGCCCACGACAAAGTCACAGACTCTATCCACTTCCTCCCGAGGGTCCAGAACCTGCCCCCGCCCAGGCCTCAGAACTGGGCCCTTATCAGTTTTGGCCCAAAGTTCCCAGCCAAGAGGATGCCTCCTTGCTCTGAACGGCCTCAGGCCCAGGCGAGGGGCTGGACTTCCCGCCCGTGTGCACACCCCCACGTGTGCACACCCCCACGTGTGCACACCCCCACTTCAGAGCTCACGCTATAAAAGCCGTCCGTCTGGGATGCTGGAGAGAGGCCTGAGAGGTTCCGGACAGCCCTGTTCTAGGAGAGGTAAGGACAAGGAAACCTAATGGGCATTTCTCAACAATCCCTTGCACCAGATGAGCCTGGGTTCAAATCCCAGCTCTGCCACTTACTATACTATCACGAGCAAGTCATTTCTCCCCTCTGAGCCTCAGCTTCATCACCTGTAAAGTGGGCCTGGACACCAGTGGTCCCACTGTGATGAGAACTGCATGATGTGCTAAGGCCTACAAAGCGCTCCCATGGTGCCTGGCGCAGGAAGGACTGAAGAAGTCAGGGCTGCTGCGCGAGGGTGGAGAGCACTGGAGCGCAGGTGTGAACTGCTAAGGGTAGAGGGGCAGCGACAAGGGCTTGACATAGAAAGCCACCCAGAAACAAAAAAGGAATAGCTAATGCCACAGTGCAAATCCCACAGCCCAAAACTATCAAGACAAACCTTGTTTTCTACTACTCAATTTAATCTCTGGGGAGGGCCCAGGACAGACTAGACAAGCACAGTGTCACTGGATGGCATCTCCAGTCCTTAGTCACCATGCGCCAAGTAGCAAAATTTGGATGTTCGAGGACTATCTCAGACGCGCCAGGGAAGCTCAGCCACTGTGGCCTCCTCCCCTTCCCACACCCAGGGCTTCCTCACAGAGGCAATGGGGGCTCCTGCTGCCCTGCTCCCGCTGACATCTGCCCTGGGACCGTCTGCGCCCAGCTGGTCCCCTCCTCACAGGTTCTAGAGCCTTGCTTCCTAGTGGTAGCTCTCACTGGTCCAGAGCCACCTGCCTGCAGCTTCCAGGGTCCCAATTGTGTTTTGGGGGACACTTAGGCAGAGCTGAGCTCCCACTGGAAGGAACTGGTTAAGATGTTCTACTTGGAAAAGATCCTTCGCATCAGGCCTGCCCTGCCACCCAACCACTGTGTCCCCTGACTTCTCACAAACTTGGTCATCACACCCGTGCCGGGTGGGCATTCACTGTATGCTATTACTGAATACACTCTTCCCAACGACCTATGATTGTCACAGGCCGAGTAGGCTTAGGTCACACAGTCAGGAAGTGGCAGAGCCCTCGAGGTGGGGAGGGTCACTCTGGGTCAGGTGGTGGTAAAGCGCCACTGTGTAGGAGGAGCTGGGGTCAGAGGCCAGGGAAGCTGGAGAGACAGTTCCACTGGGATTGCTCCCCGGCAAGGACATCAAGGCTCTCTCATCCCCAGGTCCACAGGTCCTGAGGATCCTGCTGCTCTGGGGGCCACTGCTTTGCTGGGGGCTGCTGTCCCGAGCCCAAGGGGAGGCACTACCTTCTTGCTTGGTCAAGTCTTCTCCTCTGGCCTCCCCCTTACCTGCCCTCACCCAGGGTTGACCATGTCTCTCCCCTGTTCTAACACTTGCTGTGGCTCCCCAAGTGCCCTTGGGTGCAACTCCAAGCTTCTTATTCTGGCATTCAAAGTCCAGCGTCTCTAACCTCTTCCTTACCACCTTTCCTGACGCCCCTCCCCTTTAGATTTCCCAGTTCTCTCCTTTGCTCACGCTGCTCCTTCTGCTAAAAGATTCTCTCCTCAACGCAGTGAACACTGACTCATCCTGGCAACAGGACTCTTTTTCCTGTAGGTTCCTGCAGCCTTCTGGGCCTTGTCCAAGTGCAATGCACCTGTTGTCCTGTCTGACTGTCCATCTGTCTGTTTGCCACTCTTCCTAACTCTTGGCTGCAAGCTGCTTCTTGTCTACCACACTCCTGCCCCACCCATCTTTCTAGTTGGAAAACTCACCAGGCTCATAACCACCTCAGGGCCATTGCACGTGCGGTTGCCTCTGCCTACATTGCTCTCCCCCTAGACTGTTCAGTAATGGCTTCCCTCACTTCCTTTGGGTCTTGGCTCAAAGGCCCCCAGGATCCTCAGAGAGAGCCTTCCTGACCCCAATGTCTGAAACAGACCTTCCTCATCCCAATCATGACTTGACTCAGATCTATTTTGGGGGGGGGTATTAGGGTTTGAACTCATGACCTTATGCAGGCACTCTACCACTTGAGCCACACCCCGGTCCCTTTTTGCTTTAGTTATTTTTCAGGCAGGGTTCTCAAGTTTTTGCCCGGGAGTGGCCTGGGACCTTGATCCTCTTAACTATGGCCTCCCGTGTAGCTGGGATCACAGGCATGAGCCACCATGCCCTGCTTTTATTGAGATGGGATCTCGCTAACTTTCTGCCTGGGCTGGCCTGGCCTACAACCAAAATCCTCCCGGATCTCCGCCTCCAGAGTAGCTGGTCTCCCCTCTATTTTGTTTTCCTTGTAGCACTTATCACTTCCAAAATTTATTTTGCTCGCTGATCTGAGGGCTAGACTGTTCCTCTCCCTGACTAGAACATAGATACCATGAGGACAGCTGCACTGCTCCTGTTCTCTGAGCCCAGCAGAGAGTAAGGGCTTAGAGTCCTGGTCAGCCAGGCTTAGTGGCAAGGCGGGAGACTTAGACAAGAGGATGGCTTTAAGAGGATGGCTTGAGCCCAGGAGTTTAAGATCAGCCTGGGCAACACAGCGAGACCTCATCTCTCAAATAAGTAAATAATAAATAAATGAGTCCTTTCTGCTACATAGCTGTCTTAATTGCCAGCTGGGACTCCAGTAGCAGGAGTTTGTTGAATGGCTAAATGAAGGGTAAAGCCCCACGCTGAGAAATGGCTTGTGTCCTCAGTCATTTCAGACCTGTTTTGGAAGCACCAGGTCCCGGATGGCATGGTGAGGATCCTGGTAACCGGGGACACAAACAAGAGTGTGTCTGTCCTGGACTGCCTGCCCTTTGTCAGAAAAGGCCTCTCCAAGCTGCTTGGTGGGCTGGACCTATCGTTAGTCGGGGACCTGCTGTCAGGGAAGTCGCTCCCACTGCTGGGTTAACTGCTCCAGGTGGGTGGGTGAGTGGCCTTCTTCTCCCTTCTTCTCCCTTGGGTGGGGCCTTGTCCCTGAGCCGGGGTTCATGCCTGTCCAGTGGAGCAGAGGTAGGCAGACAGCTAGATGTCTTTGGAGTGCCCCACAGCCTCCAATGTGTCAAGCAGATGTCTTCTTACTGTCCCTCTTCCTCTCCATGCCACCCAAAACTCTTGTAGGAAGAAAGCCAGGTCCACATCGGGGTCGGCCTGGCAGGCGTGCCACTTCCACACTCACCTGCCCCTGTGGCTTGCAAACGCACATCATGGTTTTGAAAATACCTAGATGACTTGCCCACATTTGAAAATCAAGAGGGTTTTAATCAAGGTCTAGGTTTTCCCATTTTCCAAGTTCAACGGACGCTGTGCCAAAGTGCCGTGACCTGAGTGGCCTGAACCACAGAAACATGGGGTCCCCCCGCCCTAAGCCAGGAGGTCGGCCTGGGGGTCTGTGCTGCTTCCTCCTGGGAGGCAAACCCTGTCCTCCAGTTGTTGCCTTACTGTGTCCTCACTCTGGTATTTGCTGGCCATCGTCCACAGTCAGGAGGCCTCTCCGTGGCCTCTGCCTTCAGCTCGCAGGATGTCCTCCGTGGGCACGAGTGTGGTCTATGTCCAACTCCCTTTTCATAAGGATGCTGTCCTGATGGGTTAGGGACCTGCAGTACTGCAGTGTGACCTCATCGTACCTGAGCACCTCTGTGAGGACCTCATTTCCAAGTGAGGTCATGTTCTGTGGTACTGGGGGGTGGATGGGGCACAATTCACCCATAATACTGACCCTCCTTAAAGCAAAGATCTGGCCCCACCTGGCCCAGCCTCCCACCTGCCAATCATTGGCGTTAGGTCTGTAGTCCTATGTGTGTCTCCAGCCACCCTGCCACTCCTATGCTACCCGCGTGACCCTGAAAGCAGTGAGTGATGACTCCTGGTAACAGAAGCCCCTGCACAGATGAGATGCCACTCTGCAGCAGGGCCCCTGCAAAGCCACCTGTGACTCCATGCCCACAAGGAGCAGGAGAGGCTGGCAGGTCCCAAGACAAATCCCAGAAGCTGAAAAGTCAAGGTTCTGGGGTGAGGAGGACATGCCCAGAGAGGCTGGGGAGGTGTGGACACACCGGGCCTCCACCATGCCATGGCCTTGAACTCACCATCAACCCCCCACCAAGACTGTACAGCCATGTCCCCACCAATGCTACAAGCTACCCCAGCCCAGGGTAAAGCTTGAGAGGGCCAGAGGAAAGCCCCACTCTGCCCTAGTCATTCTTAAAAACCCCTCCAGCCAGCCAAGTGTAGTGCTCCACTCCTGTAATGCCAGCACTTGGGAGATGGAGGCAGTAAGATGGCAAGTTCAAGACCAGCCTGAGCTGCATAGCAAGGGCCTGTCTCAAGAAAAAAATAAAAATAAAAAAACCCTCCAGAAGGTTCCATACTGGAAGCCAGGTTTCCTGGGCATTGAAGTTTATGCTGTTTGTCCCAGTGGGCACCAGGTGAATCACAGTTTGTATCACAGTTTCCCAAAGCACAGAGACCTCTGGGCCCCTCTGAGCTCAGGGTGATGTGGTACTTGAGGCCACAGAATTGGGCAGAAGGTTCTAGATGCTCAGCAGCAGAACCCACAGGTCCTACTGGACTGCCAAGGGCTCACCAGCTTTCTGCAAAGGCTTATATTTGTCTTTGTTTTCTAAGTATATTTTTGTTTTTTGACAATCCTGGGGATGGAACCCAGGGCCTCATGCATGCTAGGCAAGTACTGTACCACTGAACCACAGAGGCTTACACTTGAACTCAGATGGGTTACAGGTGTAGACAGCTCCTCGGCTGGATTCTCCCATCTTATAGAGGCTGTCCGGGGCCCAGAAAATAGAAGAGACTTCAGGTCTTTGAGGCTTGGAGAATGGAGCTAGAGCTCGCTGACCCAAGCTTGGCTGGGGACAAGAAACGGGGCTGCCCCAGTGCCACCTCCACTTCTTCCAGAGTCTGCCCTCATTTCAGCCATGCCAGGTACACACAGAGCCACAGAGGCCTTGCCAGGCTACAACAACACACCCCATGCCTCTCACAGGCTGGTCATGGAAGACGCCAAAGGACCCGAGGTCACCCTGCAAATCCTAAGAGACCGCCTGCTGCAGGTCACGCTGTGCTGCAAACTTTATCTCTCGCTCCAGAAGTAAGTACACGTGGCACTTCCTCACTGTGCTTTTGGGTGCCAGGTGGCCCATCCTCTCACTCCCAAGCTGAGCTCACAAAGTCCATTTGCCACATCACAAGGATCACAAAAATCCTTTCCACTTGAGCGTGTTTCCAAAGCCATTTTGCTGATGGAAAAACTGAGGCACAGAGTGAGCAACAGCCCCGTCCAGGATCACACAATGAGTCAGCAGCCAAGGCTGAGATAAAACCTCTGACTTCCACACCGGGGGAGGGGCCATGCACACCATCTGAGCACATGGGCAGGTGGGGCACGAGTCGGGTGGCATAGTGCGAGCTCACCATGGAGTCCAGCACTCCTGGTCTGGGCAGCTTTAGCAGGGGTATCCATTCCTTGGGCCTCGGTTTCCTCACCCATAAAATGGGTATAATCCAGTTCTGAATTGCACGAGACTGAGAGTTCACCTGCAGAATTCTGAACTGGGAATGACTGGACAGACCTGACTTGCAAATGCAGCCACCAACAGGTTGGCACTTCAAACAGAAACATTCATAAACGCCCTTCAGAATTACGTCCACTGTTGCTTTCCTTATAAAATACGGCTTCCTTGGTCTAGCTTCACCACTTAGTAGGATGCGAGCACAAAGAAATGAGTCTTTGACCAAGACTTTGGCCCAGAGAACTAAGTCTGCTCTCTGCTGGGTACATCAGCGCCCTTGTCAGGACAATGTCATAAAAGTGAAACTTGATGACTGGCAAACTGGAGAGCATGTGTTCCATCTTGAGGCCACCCGGACCCCAAGTGTTTGCCACCCTGTGACGACAGCGGCCCAGTGCTGTCAGACCTTCCCACATAGTCTGCATTTTAATGAGCTCTCCTAGTTACTTTTTGTTGTTGTTGGGGTTTTTTGGAAGCATGGGAGTTTGAACTCAGGTCCTCACACTTGCCAGGCAAGCACTCTACTACTTGAGCCACTCCGCCAGCCCAAGCTCTCCTAGTTTTTAACTCCAGCCGTCTAGGCAATCGCAGGCCACCAGCTTGTGACTTCTGGCCTCCAGCTCAGGCTCCAGCGTGGAGCCTGCCCAGACACGCTGTCCCTGCAGGATCCTGTGGTTCAAAGTCATCAAGCACATTCGCATTGGAGTATGGCTGGAACAAATAGGGAATAAGACAGAGGTGGCCTTGGAGGAGTGCCACACCCCACCAAGACACCTGAATATTGAGATTCTGGAAGAGTGAGTACCCCCCGCCCTGTGCCTCCACTGCCCAGGACCGGATGCTAGCCCTTCCTGCATCCACCCTTCTCTGAAACTCAGGGTGGGGGCTGCCTCTCCCCAGCCTAGTCCAGCCGCAGTGAGCCAGGCACCACGGCCAGGGTCACATCTCCAAGGCCACAGACCTGACATGCCATCTCCTGCCCTCACACTGAAGACCCTGGCTAAAAGAGGCTACCTAGCCAGCCTGGAACCTCTGCTTGGCCACTTCCTAACAATGGGGCCTGGTCAGGAGATTTGATGTGTAGTTTCCTCACCAGCCATCATGGAGTGATCATGGGGAAGAGAGGAGCTGACCCATGTAACTCATGTAGCACAAAGCCTGCCACACAAGGCAGCCACTGTCTACTGTTCTGTCATTATCCCAGCATAAAACCTCCTCCTGGAAGCCTTTCATGACCTCTGCTTCCAGGTGGGGCCTCTTTCTGCTTATACGTTCCAAAGACCTTATCAGAGAGAAAAATAGGGCTGGGAATATAGCTCAGTGGTTTAGTGTTTGCCTTGCATGCATGAGGCCCTGAGTTCAATCCCCAGTACCACAAAAAAATAGATAAAAGAAAGAAAGAAAAAGAGTCAGAGGTAGAGAGAATCAGAAAGAAATAAAACAAGGAGGAAAAAAAGAATAGAAATGGGAAGGGGGATAGGATGGGAGAGAGGAGAGGAGAGGGGAGAGGAGGTGCCAGGCAGGGAGGGAAGGAAGCAGCCACTCTGGGCCTCTGAGCTACCAGGCCCAGCAAGGTCTTCCTTGGCCCTACCTGGGACTCCCCTTTCTGGCCTAAGTCTTCTCATGTGTTCATGATGCCAGACCCTGCCCATTGTCCCCTCCCCCAGGACAGACTCCCTTCTGACAAACAGACTTCCACAGTTGGTGGCGAGCACCCTGGATGAATCACTGCCCTTCCTACTCCAGAAGATAGCGAGCTGCCCGCCCTCCTGTTCCCAGGGAGAGGTGTGACCCCAAGAGAGAGCCCTTCAGCCTTGGCCCAATGCCACGACTTCCCTCCAACTGTGCCCCCAGGCCAACTCGCCCAACTCGCTGCTGGGAGCCCTGCTTCACATCACCCTGCATATGTCCTGCACCCGGGTTGGGGGCTCATCTGCCAGCCCCTGCCGGGGACTGGGCACTGTTCCAGGCTCTAGAAATATGACGGGGCAAGACAGTCCCACCAACAGGGAGTCTGCTTTCCAATGAGGTGAAGAAAGAAGCAATGTAGCTTGTGACCTGGAGAAGTCGTTTCCCCTCTGAGCCTCAGTTTCCCTGTCTGTGAAATGGGATTAATCAGAGGCCCGCAGGGTAGGACTGTTAGGACAATAAAAACAATCTAACCTGGTCCAAAGTAAAGTGGGCTGAGTCACTCAATAAAAATGGCCCAGACCACAAGGAACTCGGCACAGAGGCGGAACGAGTTTCCCTCCGGTGCTCTTCTGCCACCAGCTGAGCCCCACGTTCACCTCTACATTGTAGCCCCCCATCTCCGGCGCAGATGCCTTCCAGCACTCTGTCACTGTGTCACTACCACGGAGCTCACGGAGGAGGCCATGCTAATGAGAGTCCTGGTGAGCCGGCCTCTGGCCAGAGCGGACCCTCTGGGGATGCCCACTGTTCTTGAGGAGGATGGGCAAAGAGCAAAAGGAGAAGAGGCTTCTCTTCTCGGGACAGCAGGGGGGCGGGGGGGAGGGGAGAAGAAGGAAGGAGAGGCCCTCACCAGGAGCTATGCTGAGCCAGCGAGCCCCGTCCAGCCTGGAGAACAGGCCAAGGGCTGCAGGACAGTGAGGGAACTGCAGACTGCAGCTGGACTAGACTCCCAGATGGGGAAACTGAGGCCAGAGGAGGGATGAGATGGCTGTCTGCCCAGCTGCTGTCAGCTGCTCCTCCCACAACCATGGAATGACAAGAATGGGGGACAGAGAGGGGCTGATGGGTAGGAAGGGGCCCTGTGAACAAAGGCACAGAAAGCAGAATGGGTCAAGTTGGGGACAAGCAGGGGTTCAAAGTCCAGCTCTACCTCTTACCACATGTGAGATCTCGAGTAAGTGACTCTGCCTTTCTGAGCCTCAGTTTCTTCATGTGTCAAGTGGTGGCTATTGAATGTCCTGTTCAGCCTGGACATGGTGCATGGTGAACCCTGGCTCTAGAGGAGAGCTGTTCCCACTGAATTTCCTCTTCCTTCATTGCTCTGAAGCTTGTGACACCCTGCCGCCCAGGCCAGCGGGTACCAAGGCCTGACCACCTGGTCCCCCACCCCTCCCAAGATTAGCCCAGGGCAGCATGGCAGACCTGGTCTTCTGGCTGGAAGTCTACAATAACATTGTGCTTTGCTTCTGCACCAGGACCCACGTGGAGGTCCACATGGAGCCCCAGGACTCCATGGTGAGTGCTGGAGAAGGGGGGAGCAGGGTCAGAACTCTCTTGCTCTGTTTTTTATATGAAGAAACCAAGGCCCAGGTGGCAAAAGTACTTTTCTGGCTGGGCTCAGATAAATCAGTTCACCTCTCTGTGGTTCACCGGAAAAAACTCCTACTTAGCTTTCAGAACCCAGCATAGAAATCCCCTCACATAAGAAGAAGGGCACATCCACATCACTGAATTGTTCCTCTCTTCATAACACTTATCCATTCATTCATGCTGCAAATATCAGTTGAAGGCCTACTGTGTGCCAGGCCCTATGCTCCCAGGCTCCCTGTCCCTGCAGAGCTCAGAGTCTAGTGAAAACATAGAAAACAACAAGAAAATAGTCTGATAAATAAAATAATTTACTTAAAGTGAGTCGGGTACAATGGTAGCAAGTGATTGTGGAGGTCAGAGGGTGACCCTGGATGCTGCTGTCAAAGGAGACACAATGGAAAGGAGGCACACACAATGGAGAGGAGGCACACACCGAGGTCTTCAAGAAACATCAGCTCCCAGGGTCAATGGAGGATCATAAGCAAGAAATCCAGACACATTGCTGCTCACAAACCACAGAAGCTTATCTTTACCCTGGGAATAAAATCCAGTCTCCTCTCTGCAGCTCTGGGGCAAGGCACAATCTGACCCTGTCCCTTTCTCCAGCCCTGTCTCCTCACTCACTGCATCCCAGCCACATATACCTCAGGACCTTTGCACATGCTGGTGCTGCCGGGAACACTGTTTCCTCTGCTTTTGTTCCCAGTACAAATGTCATCTCTTCAGAGAGCCCTTCTTGACCACTGCATCTAAAGATCTAAAGCAAGCCTTCTACCAGGCACAGTGGTTCATGCCTATAATCTCAGCTATTTGGGAGGAAGAAATTGGAAGAATCATGATTTGAGGCCAGCCTAGGCAAAAAGTTAGTGAGAATTTATCTCAAGAAATAAACCCAGTGTGGTAATCCCAGCTACGTAGGAGTAAGTAGAAAGATCATGGCATGGAGCCCAATTCAGATAAAAAGCGTGAGATCCAATCTGAAAAATAACCTAAAGCAAAAAGGGCTGGTGGATTGACTCAAGCAATACAACACCTACCTGAGTTCAAACCCCAGTGCCCCCCCAAGTAAATCCAAAATCTGAAGCTTTTTGAGTGTCCACGTGACACCATAAGAGGGAAATTCACACCATGAAACTTCGGTTTATTTTAAATATTGTATGCAAACTGAGGTCCACAGAGGGAAAGCAACTTGTTCCAAGTCACCTAGCAGGCATGATCGATCAGGACGAGAGCCAAGTCTCTGCCTCTCCCTGCTGCTCCCTCCAGCCCACACACCCCTCCCTGCAGAACTCTGAGACCATCAGCAGTGAACCTCACGATCCCATGTCTGCGGAAACTCTTACACCAGTGGGCAGGGGCTCAGGGATGTTCTTCACAGCTTCGTTTGTTGTGAGGCAAGAAACAAAGTTAACTTAGGTACCCATCGCTAAGGAACCGGTCAAATAACTCGGGGTGTGCTCACATGATGTGGAATCTGCAACTGTTTATAAGAGTGGAGTTGTTTCATGTGTACTGACTCAGTGGGACCAACAAGTGTAGGACCATGTGGTTAGAATGCGCCCATCTATTCATGCTTGTATGTGTGTAGAAGAGTCTGCCAGGATATACTCCAAAATGTCAACGGTGATTACCCCTGAGAGTAGGACTCAGAGGGAAAAGAAAAGGGCTGTTGGGGTGGATTTTAACTTTTTGCTTCATATACTACTGTACTGTTGTCTATAATGATTTATGATTTTTGAAAATCAGTTCTAAGTCGTGTTCTTAGCACGCATGAGGCCCTGGGTTCAATCCATAGCATCTCCTCACCCTAAAAGTTCAGTAGAACATAGACAGATTGAAATGTGAAGCCAGGTGCCATGGCTCATGTCTGTAATCCTAGCTACTCAGGAGGCAGAGATCAGGAGGATCACGGTTCAAAACCAGCCCAGGCAAATAGTTTGCGAGACCCTATCTCAAAAAAAAAAACCTTCACAAAAAAGGGCTGGTGGAGTTGCTTAAGGTGTAGGTCCTGAGTTCAAATCCCAGAACTGCAAAAAAATGTGGTATAGGATATTTAATAGAAGAATCTAGGTCATGAGTACACAAATGTTCTCTACAAAGTTCTTTCAACCTTTGCTGTAAGTATAGAAATTTTTGCAATAAAATGTTGGGAGGAAAATCAAAGGGAACCATAATATTAACGTTTCCAGACAAATCACGATGAGACACCAGAGGCATGACTGCTCTTGTGCTGAGGCTGACCGGCGTGCAGGTGGTGCATCTGGCAGGGGCCAGGATGTCTCACTGAGCCCCCGGCCTGCAAGGACAACCTGCAGGGTCCCAAGACCAACACATGCTTCGCCCTTTCTCCAGGATGTCCACCTCGTGCAGTTGCTGTCGCAGACAGAGCTGGAGCCCAGGCCCAAGGTAGGTGTGTTGCCAGCTCCTCCCCCAACACCCTGGCTCAGGACAGATTCTCTGACAAGGGGCTGGACTAGGCAGGGCCACATGGACACACTCCATTTTCCTTCTGTGAACTCCAGAAATCACTGCGCTTGCTTTACAGTGTTGTAATAAGTAAGGCCCTGACCCACTGCCCAGACCATGACTGTGTGGCTGCCATTAGGACTCATGGTGAGCAAGACCCCATCCTGCTAAGGCTCACCTAGGTACTAGCAGGCAGGGAACATGTGCAGCCCCTCTGCCCATGTCACTGGAACCTCCAGTCACTGTCCCCTTTTATAGGTGAGCCAACTGCAGCTTAGCAAGGTGACGCTGCTTGTCCAAGCTCACACTGCTAAATGTATAGAAGTAGGATTTGAACCCAATCCCTGAGCTCAGTGCCCTTTCCAAATGCTTTTGGATACTGCGCTGATGGACGCTGACAAGCTCAGGGCAGTCCCAGGTGCCAGGGCCCCTCCTAAGCTCTTGACTTAAGTTAACTTATGCGTTCCTCACAATAGCCTATGGGATAAGTGCAGTTCTTTCCGCCTCTTTTACAAGTATGAAAATTAAGACACAGAGAGATTAAGAGCCTTTCCTCAGGCCACACAGGTCTGCAAAAACCTATTCTCTTACCCTCTACGCATGCCCAGAACAAGCAGTATGTAATCGCACTCAAAGGAGTTCAGAGAGAATAAGCAACCTCCCCAAAATCACACAACAAATTGGTGCAGAACTAGAAGGAAAACCCAGGGGAACTGGTGGAGTGGCTCAAGTGGTAAAGTGCCTGCCTAGCAAGCATGAGGCCCTGAGTTCAAACCCAGTACAGCCAAAAAAAAAAGTGCAGTGTGTAGAAGGAAAATCTAGACACCACACCACTCTTAAGTTGCTCTTGTTCTCGTTCCTCCAAGCTGGGGGCCCGAAGAAAGCCATCTTCCATCCCTGCCTGCACCCTCTCTGCTTTAACCTCATGCAGGCTTCTGAGCAGTCCAGAAGAAGCGTGGGACTGGCTGTCAGTACCTGGGATCCTCCCACTATCCGTCTTCATGGCCACAGGGCCACCGTCACCCAACCAGGCTCACTGGTACTGCTGGGACCAAATACTACCTCCTCCGACTCAGTTTCCTGGGTGAGTGAGGTGGAAGCTCTACTTTCCCTACAGGTCTTGGGCTCACAGTGAGGCTCTTCCAGGGTCTGCTGACTAAGTCAGGGAAGAGGAGGATAGTGGCCAATCACAGGTCCAGGTCAGTGGCTAGCATCTGTCCACACTTGGGCAGCAGTGCCCACTGCTGAAACATGCAAATGCTCTACTGAGTGTCCCTTCTCCCCTCCCCCCACTGCCGTGCTGGGTGTCATCAGGTCTTTGGCTGTCTGCCCTAGGCATGGCTGGATCGAAAGCTGTACAGGAAGTCCAGACACATGGAGTTCCTGGTAGACCCAGCCATGCTTCCTAAGAAAGAGCAAACCAGCCTGGAAAGGCAGGGTCTGGGGAGGGACCTGGGGAACTAGGAAACCCCCAAAGTTTTAATGTCTCAATTCTGAACCCCTTGGCATTCCTACCTCCCATTTCAAAGACCTTGAAATTGTGAAAGTGCCTCAGATAAGGAGCAGGACGGTCATAGGCCAAAGGTGACTGGGTGGCATCCCATGGTCATCACAGGGTCCTTGGATCTTAGGAGGCTTGATTTTGTGATCAAAAATCAATCACCTCTGGGGGTAAAAAAAAGTTTCATTTGTGTAAATGTGGACGAGGGAGGACAATATGGTAAGACCCCAACTCAATAAAACAGCCAGGTTGGGGGTATGGCTCAGTGGTAGTGCACTTACCCAGCAAACACCGGATCCTGGCTTCCATCCCAGCCCCATACACACATCGAAAAAAGCAAGGAGTACCCTGGCTTCTTTAGTGGTGACCAGGACCAGCAACTCTCCTCTGCACTGAGTGAGCCCTGCCCTAGGGTCCAGCCCTGGTCTCCCTACCCTCCAGGAGCAGCTGGCTCCCACTCCCACCAGGGCCCCTTCCATTGCAAGGGCCATGCATGCAGGGTTTGCACCCATGTGAACCAGCATAGGGCTGGAAGGTGAGGAGCATAGGAGGCTTGGCCTGGACACGTATTCATGGTCTTGGGGTCAGCTGGGATGGAAATTCTACCTCTGTTCTGACCTTGTTTCAATCCCTCACAGCATCTCCTTTCAAAAGCTGTGTTTTCCTCAAGAAATCAGGAGCTAAAACTCCAGCTCAGTCCACACAGGTGATGGGTTTTGATTTTGGATGTTCAGAAAAAGCAAGAAGGCTGACAGAGTGAGAGATGTGGGAGAAAGTTCCCGTGCCTGTTACCATCAAGACCTTCACTGGTGGAAGGGAGGAGTAGGGCAATGTGACTTGTAGCTCCTGAGCCCTGTACCCCCAAACTGCTGCCATGACCTAAGAGTGATCTCCTTCCTCTGGCAGCACGATAGTCATCCTGCACCTGTACCCACCCCTGGCCTCAAGGAGCAGGTGAGTCTCTTCCCCCAGCCTTGGCCTCCATTTGTCACGAAGGACCCATGAGTAAGCAGAATAAAAGGTCCCAAGCCACTGATGGCTGGGGACATGGCTCAAGTGGTAGAGTGCCTACCTGGCAAGCTCCAGGCCCTGAGTTCAAACTCCAGTACTGCAAAACAAACAAACAAACCAAGACACTGATGTAGCCGGGTGAAAGCCTCACTCACATTCTCTCATCGGACCCTGGAGCCCTCCCTCCCCCATGCCTGCTGGGATGGGGCAGAAGCCTCATTTCGTTCTTTCATACACTCAACAAACATTAACTGAACACCTATTATGTGCCTAGCCTGGTCTTTGGTACTTGAGACTAGACAGGGAGCAACATGAAGGCCTCTGACCTTGTGGAACTCACATGCTAGCAGGGTGAGGTCAGAAAGAAGCACATGTAAAGCAAACTACATAGCGTGAGGTGAGTGATGACACCAGGTGAAAAGGAGAGAAGGAGACAGGGGACTGGCATACTGGGTGAAGTAATATTAAAAAGGAAGGTCAAGCCAGGTGCCAGTGGCTCACGGCTGTAATCCTAGGTACTTTGGACGCTGAGATCTGGAGGATCACGGTTCAAAATCAGCCCTGGCAAATAGTTCATGAGACCCTCATCTCCAAAAGAACCAGAGCAAAATGGACTGGAGGCATGGCTCAAGTGGTAGAGCGCCTGCTTCACTAGTGTGAGGCCCTCAATTCAAATCCCAGTCCCACCAAATTAAAAAAAAGAGAGAGAAGGGGCTCATGGGGTGAGCTTTTGAACAAAGACTCAGAAGAGGGAGAGGAGGAGACGGGTTACAGGGAAAAGGCAGACCAAAGTCCCAAGGCTGGGTAAGCCTGATAGACTCAGGGAACAGCCAGGGCAGCTGGCACAGAGACAGGGAGGGAAGGGAAGGAGGTCAGAGAGATGGACAGAGCCTGCCCACTGCAGTGTGACCTTCCTCTGAGTGGGATGGGGTCCTGGAGGGAGGGAGGGAGCAAGCAGGGAGCATCCTGGGGGCCAGGAGGAAGCTGCAAGGCCAGCAAGCAGGCTGGCAGAAGGGTGCAACCAAGAGGGGCTGTGGCTCCAAGAGGTGGAGTGGCCAAGTGGAATTCCCCAAAGGAACAGATGTGGGGAACGAGGAAAAAGGAGATGTCCAAGGTGGGGCAGGTTTTCTTTATGTTTTTGGCAGTACTAGGGTTTGAGCTCAGGGCCTTGCACTTGCTAGGCCCCCAGCTTTTTGAGGCACTTCATTCTCTGCTGGTTGAGGACAGCAGGGCAGGGTCTGCTGCAGTGTGGCTGGTCTGAGCCTCCTGCCTGACCCCTGAGCGCAGCCCCACACTGATGGAGCCTGCCATCTCTTCCCCAGGGGTCATTGCTGCTCCTGCTCAGGAAGAGCTTTCCCTGCCCTGGCTGGCCTAAGGGACCCTCCCCCCACCCCCAATCCCACCACCCTCCACTCTGTAGGACAGGGTCTCCTGCTCCAGCCCTAATGGAACAGGGCTGCAAGGCAAGAACTAAGAGTACTAAGTGAGAACTCACACAAGGAAACACCACAGAAAGAGTTTTTCCCCAGGGCCTTGATCATGCTAGGCAAGCACTCTCCACTGAGGCATTCCCACAGCCCAGCATCACAAAACTCTACCATCCCTGTTACCTCAGGCCTTCCTTCATCCTTACTTCCACAGAATCCCAGAGTGGAAGGCTCTGAACATCATTGACTCTGGTCAGGGATCTCTTCCATGACATTGTCAGAGACAGGACGACCACACACAGTTGACACGTGATTCACTGTGCAAACGATTCACATGGACAGTGCAGATGTGCATATGTTTATGACAATCTCCCAACAGATAGGAGAAGAACATCACGAAAGAGACTCTTTCTAATCTGTCCAAATGGGTTGGGACATCCTGATACAGACATCCTGAGTGTCCCTGGTGATGGCAGGCTTGCTATAGTTCCATGTGCCCCATGACCAGCAGCTGTCAGCACTCAAGAGCTCTACCCAGACTGACTCAAGGTTGTCCCCACGAAGCCCTGGCTCCCAGGGTCCTTCTGCCCTAAGGCTGCCCTCCAAAGATACCACCTGGGTGAAGACGTGTCTTTCCAGTTTTCCCCAGTCCCTTCACTAATCCCGCCAGCTGGCTCCAAAGTCCTTCCAATATAGCGTCCTCAACTCACACTGAGTTCCCCCCACCCCATGATCATGATCTGCCGCCCCATGGAAGTGACCTTACTGTTCCTCCTGGCAGGAAGAACGCCTGAAGGCCTTGCTCTCAGCATCTCTGAAGAGGAGGTTCCTGCCCTGTCACAACAGTGCACCACCTTCACTTTCTGTCGTGCCTGCCTATGGTGTAGCTCTGAGCACCACCAAACGTGCCCAGAGGGTCTACACACACAGCTGCCTTCTGTCTGGGTTGAGAATGGTACCTGGCAAGGCAAAAGGCAACAGGGTAGACCTGACACCTGAGTGTGGCCAGTGAGGGGCGTGTGGCTTCCTGTTCTGCCCCTGCAGCTCGGGTGACAGGAGCTCAGAAGAGGGGCAAGCAGCCAGGATCAGGACCTTCTCCGCCCCCAACTGCCTCCCACACAGCTCCACAGACTTCAGGATGGGGAAGCAGAGTACCAAATGGCACCCCCCGGTGGGCTGATGGCAAACGTGACCACCTGACATGGGCGGCTTGCACTCCCAGTGTCATCCAGGCCTTTCCAAAGCACCCTGCGTTCGCTCTACGCTCGCCCTGTGCTTGCCCTGTCTCACCCTGCGCTCCAAGGAGCCAACCTGGAGATGAGGGAGTGCTAGCAGGGGGAGGTGAGCTCGGGAAGATGGAGGGAATGGAAAGGATGCTTGGCTTCCTGGCCTCGCCCTCCCAGGGCAGTGTATGTAACAATGGCCTACCCAACGGTGAGCTGCCCCAAGGCAGGGACCCCTGTTTTTCATTGTATCCCCAGCATCCTATCTGGTGCCTCACACCCAGAGGCTCTCAGGAAACACACATAGGAGAAACAGCTCAGATCTACTCACCCCTTAGGAATCATCTCACTCGGACTCTTCATTATTCAGATAAGACCACCCCCCTTACCCTCCCCTACCCTGCAGACCCAGAGAGGTTAAGTGACTTACCCAATGTTACACAGTAAGTTTCTGGCCCAGCTGAGTCCAGAACTCTGGCTCCTTGCTTTCCCAACAGGGGCCTTGGTGCTCCAACTCCCAGTGGGAATGCAGGACACTAGAGAAGCAGACAAGGGCTCAAACCCAGCCAGGCTGAAGGGTGTGACATCCATCCTGAGGCCCCTGGTAGCCAGGAAAGCTTTGGGCATGAAGTGAACAAATCTGATTGAGAAGAGAGACAAATTAGGGAAGGAGAGCATGGCAATGGAAGGTCCAGAAGGATAACCTGCTGGTTATCCTTCAGATAACCAGACAAAGTGAAGGGCTAGGGAGACAGGGCCCCACTCTTGCCCATGCCTACCACAGACCACTCACTCAACCACAGAGAGACACAGCAAGGGTCAAGAGATGACTCAAACTGGGTGTGGTGGCTCACACCTGTCATCTAAGCTATTTAGAAGGCAGAGATCAGAAAGATTGTGGTTCCAAACCAGTCCAGGCAAAAAGTTAGCAAGAACCCCATCTCAACAAAATAAACCAGGTGTGGTGGTTCATGTCTATAATCCCAGGTTCTTGGGAGACATAGACAGGAAGATCAAGGTCCAAGGCCAGTCCAGGCAAAAGGTGAGATGCTAATCTGAAAAATAATCTAAAGCAAAAAGGGTTGGAGTGTGGCTAGGCAGAACACCTGCCTAGCAAACATGAGGCACTGAGTTCAAACCCCAGTACCACCAAAAACAAAGATGACCCAGAGGTTAGGCCGGGCCCAGGAAGTCTGTATAATCCTGCAAGTTCTGCATGCCATGAGTAGTGGGTTACTCAGTGCCAGCGGCTACTGTTCACACTGTGGTCCCATCTAGAGCCTCCCTATAAGGAGAAAAGGGCAGAACAAAAGCTGTAGTGGAAACTCAGGAGGGCTGCCTGGAAGAAGCAGCCTGAAAGGAAGAATTAGCAAAGAAGAGACTCAGGCAAGCCTGTGCTGCAGGTAAGGCCACGTGAGCCCCCAGAGAGAGGACTGGAGTGACGAGGTCACAGGCCAGGAGGCTGGTGAAGTGGCCTCTGCAAAGTGTAGGGACAGATGGGAGACCAGATGCACCTGTCTTCCTTCCTCCATCCCGCCCCCACCATGAATTAGAGCAGCTGGGGACAGCAGACCTACCCTGAGCCTGGAGTGGTGATGCAGGGATGGGGTGAGGTGGAACTGCTCGTGCAGAGGAGGGGCAGGAGGAGCCATGCCAGGCCCTCAAGGTCAAATCTTGGAAGCTCAGTCTGCTAAAAGTCAGTCAATTAAATGGCTGAATCACTGACACTCATGCTGCACAGTGACAGGCTCTCCAGTCACCGAAAACTTGCTGTAAGCACTATTCTTCATATGGGAAATAAGTATTTGGTAAATAGTTTTCTTCTTTGATCTAGTCAGTGGACATTGTCTTATTAATAGAGGCAAATTTCTAGTGTTTGAGGTTAATTTTTTATTTATTCTGACTTCTTTTTAGTACTTTTTTTTAGACATTTTTCTGTTTCTACCAACATTTTCTTAAGAGCAGTGTTTTCAGTCACTTGTCAATTAAAGAATGCATTTCACTAATAGAATCACAGAGGCCTGTGACAGATGGGACAGTCCTTAAAATGCTGCAGAGAATGGCATTCTTCCTAAGAATGCAGGACAGTCCCAAACATTCGAGAAACCCGTCCCTTAGGACAGGGCTTCTGGGAAGGAGTAGAGCAGCCATTTGGAGGCTGGCTTGCTTGCTGGGGCCACTTGCTGTTCAGCGGCGGCCTGCCGGGGTTGGGGATAGGGGAGGGACAGGGGGACCCACTCAGTCCTGCTCTGGGCAGTGGAGCTGCCAGAGCTCCAGGCCCACCAGGACACTCAGCATCCCTGCCTCTCTTGGAGAGTGACTCAGGGAACATGGTCTCCCGCTGCCCAACATAAAGGGTGTCTCCTTCAGCCAGGCCCCAATGGAGTTCTCCGAGGCCAGTGCTGGGACAGGGGCCTTCCTGAACCAGTCGCCATGTCACGTGATAACTGGACCTAGGAGAAGCAAGCACACTCCCTGCTTCACTTCTAGGCTGCCTCGGACAGCTGTGCAGGTCATCCGTCACACAACAGCAAGACAGTAGTCCACACGAACAACACCGCCTGGAGCTGGGCAGAGCACAACCTGCACGTCCTTACGTGGCTGTCCTGGGTGTTCATCCATTCATTCACCATCACACATTCACTCAGTCCCTGGAGCCCAGGAAGAGCCCCAAATCTGGTCTGTTCCCACCCTCACACGCATGCCCAAGACTCTCCCTGCCCTCTGCTCTGCCCTCTTGTCCACTGGCTTCCCAACTCTTCCTTCCTGGCACGTCCCTGGGGCACGTGGGGTCCCTCTGTGAGGGTCAGGAGCAGCCTCGGAGAGAGCAGTTCCATGGGCAGGAGGATGGGTGCAGAGTAGCCTTCTGCCTCTGTGCACAGGCCACATGCTGCTGGCCATTCCAGAGTAGCTGCGCTGACCGAGGGTCAGTCCTGCCCTCAGCTGCACATGCTCAGACTCCAAGGCCAAGGATGGCGGCACGTTCAATGGAATCCTCAGTTGCAGTAAACATGTTTCCTACTCAAGAAGGAGTCTGGTTCTGTTTGCTAAGGGTCCTGTGAGGAGGTGGGCAGGCTGTCTGGAAGGACATTTTGTCCCCTTTTCAGGCCTTGAACCCAAGGCCTCGCACGTGCTACAAAAGAACCCTACTACTGCTAAGCCTCCAGCCCTTTTGTTTTTGAGATAGGGTCTCGCTATATTTTTGCCTGGGCTGGCCTTGAACTCTCCATCCTCCTGTCTCTGCCTTTTGAGTAGCTAGGATTGCAGGTGTGCACCACCACATCTGGCCAGACTGTCGTGAAGGATTTCAATGAAGGATTCCCCCACTCCATAGTTCTGGTTCTCCCTTGGACCCACAGGGAGCTGTTCTGAGCACTGCATTCAGTGCCTCAGGAAAGGGCACTTTCTCAGAAAATGGAGAAAAGAGCTGGGAGTGGTGGCATATGCCTGCAATCCCAGCACTTAGGAGACTGAGGCAGACTAGTCACACATTTAAGGCCACAAAGCAAGTTCAAGGCCTGCCTGGGTTACACAGTGAGTCTGTCTCAAAAAAGAAAGGAAGGCAAGTGGACAAAAGGCTTTTGAGAGTCCAAAGGCCCCATCCTGTGAGAATAGGGTGCAGAGAGGGCGCAGAGAGATCGGCTCCTGTAGAAGCTTTCTGGTGAAGAGGAAGAAGGAAGCAGGAAAGCGGGGAAGTTTCGGGTGCCAAGAAGGGCACCCACAGGAGCCCAGAGATGTTTGGAAGGCACTGGGTGAGAGAGAGGAGACAGGTTAAGGGAGGCAGTAAGACACCCAAGCTGGCGCTGGATTGGTGGCTGTGGAACAGTCACACCTCAGAGCTGGGAGCCTCGGGGAGCAGCGGGCAGCAGACTGACCAGCACGCCCAAGAGCACCGCGCAGGAAGGCCCCAGAAATGCCTCTGCCCTCTTCCCTCGCCACACGGCCCAGGCAGACAGGGCAAGGGGCAGAGGAAGGCCAGACAGAAGTGGTTTTGCAGTCAGAGCTGTGGATGGAGGCATGTCCCAGAGTGGAGAGATGGCAAAACAAAGTATAGAGGCCCCCAGCACCTGGCACCCAGCACAGCCCGCAGCAGGTCGCCTGGGCCCAGGAGACCCTGGGAGGGACTGTGATCAAATCCCACACCCAGCAGGACAGAGGTCCAGGCCAGTTTCTGTCTTGGGAGTGAGAGGCTCCCAGCTCTCCCAGTAGCCCAGCTAGCCTCTGGCAAGTGGAGAAGGTTTGGGAGCAGGGGTCCTCTGCCCCGCTCGCAGGTTTGCATAGATTTGGAGCCTAGCCCTGTCCTGCAGTTGGAGGGTGGGCCCAGAATAAACCATGCTGTGGGGCTTGGGGGAGTTGTTTATTTGTTTGGCGTACCAAGGTTTGAACTCAGGGCCTCACGCTTGCCAGGCATGCACTCTGCCACCTGAGCCATGCCCCCAGTCCTTTTGGCTTTAGGTATTATATTTTTTTATTTTTTGTTATGTTGTTCCCCATCTATGAGCTCTGCTTTTTAGTTTATTTTTTTAACTAGTTGTACAGGGGATACTGTTTAATAGGGTCTTGTATTTATGCCCTGGCCCATCTGGACTTCCACCCCCTATTTCACTTCCCTCATAGCTGGGATGACAGGTGAGAAATATACCTCCTGATCTCTACCTCCAGAGAAGCTAGGATTATAGGCGTGAGCCACCAAGCCCAGCTTCTCGGGTTCTTTCCTTGACTCCCTGACATGTTTACAAATGTGAACCCCAAGGCCAACCCTCAAAGGAAAAAGTCCTCAACAGGCAGCCCCCAGGGAGATCGTGGGCTTTACCTGGGCTGCACCTGTCCTTGCAATCATGGTCCTTGACGTGTGTATAGGACACACCTAAGGGAGGGTGGAGGCTGGGACCCAAAGCCCAGAACTTTCCCATCCTGTGTGAGCACAGTGCCTGACAGTAGAGTGTGGAACCAAGGGGAACCAAATAAACCCTCCAGCTCGGCTCGTTTTAGTCCCTTGCTTTGTCACCAGGTAAAGTCTTCTGACTAAGCAACCGAGCCCATCAGCTTTGCTGCAGGCATCAGGGTCATTGGGTGGCTGTGGCCTAAGTTGGTGTCAGGAACTGGAAGGTAGCTCAAACCTGTTGGAGTTACCGACCCTTCACTTGGGTCTGCACAGTGTTCCATGGGTGACCTTTGACGTTAGAGGGCCAAAAGCTCCCCGTCGGGGCACAGCAATACTGCTGTTTTCTGAGCACAGTCCTGGGAAGAACCAGGGTCTGACTACTACACATGCCATGTGCACACCACCAAAACTACTTCACGTTTCTTCACCCACAGACACCTTCCTCGAGCCCCAGACCACCTGTTTCTTCAGTCCAAAAACACCAGTAAGCCCTGTCCTTGGGGTGGCGGGTTCAAAACCTGAGTCCCTCTTCTCCTCATGTTTGACCACCTTGCTCAATGAATAAACTCTTTTGCAAAACCTTGTCATTTCAGTGAGTGGCCTATGCACAGCGGCCAAATGGCCTGATCCAGTGACAAGTACAAAACAGTTGCAAGTGGACTTCCTCAGGCCTCCTCCTCAGCCAGCCAGCCAGGAGTGAGCCTCTCCCACCAGCTGTAGGAGCCTCTCTGACTCTCCTGTGACCTCAGCGGGTTCACCTCCCTTGCAGTACCCACATATCCTATTGGTCCTTCACATAGTGGGGGGCCACACAGGAGGAGATTATCCTTACTTGTCAGCCTTCTGAGACCACCACAGATCACCTTCCTCCTCTCTCACTGCCATGGCCTCCCTGAGCTCCACCTTTGCCCCCAGGATCTGTCAGCTGAGGAGCAAACAGACACTTGGTGTCCCTGTCCCAAACACCTCCCCCACCCATTGCCTGTGGTGGCCTAATGTCCCTCCCACCAGCACCCCTTCTGAAGGACTTCTTAAGGAAATATACTTGTTAAGCAGTGGTTTTTCAAATTTGTCAAGACAATACACTTTGTCAAGTAAAACTTACAAAGAAACCCAATACAGATGACAAGAGCTGCTGTGGTTACAATGAGGCTGGGGGCCAAATTCCACCTTTTGACTCCAAAGTGGACTCCTCTGAGGGGCCTCCACGCTCTTTGTGGTTAAGGTATTGGGTTCCCCAGGTGGGAGCTCCAAGGCTGAGCTATGCAGAAGCAGGAGCCGAGCACTGGGCAAAGGGAACACAGGATAGACATGTTTTGACAGCTGGGAGAATGAGAGGGAATAATCTGGCTATGGTGCACACGCCAGTGATCCCAGCTACTTGGAGGCAGAGATTGGGAGGATTGTTCTTTAAGGCCATCTCAACCAACAAGCTGGGACATGGTGGTTCGCGTCCATAATCCCAGCCACATAGGAGGTGTAGGTAGGAGGACTGCAGTCCAAGACTGACCTAGGCAAAAACCCAAGACCTTACCTGAAAAAAATTTTTTTTAATTTAAAAAAAGACTGGGCATATAGCTCAAGTGTAGAGCGCCTACCTAGCAAGCAAGAGGCCAAGTTCAAACCCAAGTACCACCAAAAAGGAAAAAAAAAAAAAAATCCAAGAAGCCTAGAAGGGAGAACATAGAGAGGTCACATGCATCCCCACCAGGCTTCCACTGACAGCGGCCCAGGTGAAAATGGAAGGCTTCTGTCCCTCACCCCTAGTTCAGCAGCCAACCCTGCTGTCCTACTTTCTAAGGCTCTCTCGTACCTGCCGGCACTGCCACACTGGACAGGTCCTGACTCCAGCACGGGCTCACACAGCAGCCAGAGAGAGCTTTGCCCCACAATGAACCCCACCATCCCCCTTGCTGGTTCTGATGGCTTCCCGTCCAACCAAGAAACCTGAGGGTCTCCCATGGCCTGCCATCGTCTCTCTGCTCTTCCCTCCGCAGCCTGGTGCCTCTCCCTCGTCCACTCCCCTGCACAGGGAGCTCCTTCCCATCCTGGTTGTCACTTAAACATCACCTTCACTGAGGCCTCTGACATCCCCCACTCAGAGAAATGATCAATTCATGAGGCAACACCATGGTCATTACACATCGTGTATGTGTATTGGAACACCACATGTCCCTCATAAATATGTACAATTATATGTCAAATTTTTTTCATTGTAGGCTCATACAATGAATTTATGCCTAGGAAGCCTTTACTATATCTTAATATAAGGTATTAAGATGGAAGCCAGGCCTGATAGCACATGCCTGTAGTCTCAACACTTGGGAGGCTGAGGCAGGAGGATCCCTTGATCCCAAGAGTTTGAGATCAGCCTAGGCAATATAGTGAGACCCCATCTCATAAAAATAAATGAGTGATTACATGAATATTTATCCTTTTACTTTTATATTAACTACTTTAACTCTTCTTTACCTAAATGACATTTAGTGGAAGACAGAAAGATATGATTTTATGTGAGTGTGCTTTTTTTTCTGTCCTTGACAAAGAAGGCTTAAACAGTCTGCATTTGGTTTTCATGTCAATACTGCCAACATCCTACACATTCAAGAAATGTATCTTCACAAAGTGAAGAACAAAAAGTCACCTCCTCTAAGAAG